GAGTGTTTAGCTTACACAGTTTATAAAAGGAAAAAAAGATCCAGGCTTGGTGCTGCTACTTGGTTTCCCTGTTTGTGTCTAAACCCCTTGGGAGCTGCAGAGCAAACAGCAGCCTGTGGTGCTAATCTGCAGCTTTACAGTCTCAGTATATGGTCACTGCCGAGCTACACGAGACACTGTCAGCTTCAGTTCTGCTGCAATTCATGAGCCCTTTGTTACCAGTAACAGGATAAATAGTTTGAAGTGAAACATCTTGAAAAAATCCCACTGTACTTGTAACCAACTATGGCCTCAAGTCTGCATTTCTGTTAGCTTTCACGGTGATTAGTCACTGTAYGGCAGCAAAGAGCAGCTCAGTCTATAGCTGTGCTCCTCTAGCATGCAAAAGATCTTGCCAGACACCTAATCTGCACTTATTTTCTTCTCAGGCCCTTCACTCTTATGCTCATTAAAATTAATGGGAAAGATCCCCATTGTGCCCGGGGAGTCAGTGGGATTCAAAGCCCTGCTGTCTGATGCTGCTCGGGCCACGGCTCCGGCCCGGCGTGGGCATGGACAGCAGCTGCCTTCTGGGGTAACTCCTCCCCAGCAGAGTAAAAACTCACCCACTGGCCCACAAAGCGGCTCTTATCTCTCCCCTCCACCTGAAAGAGCTGCTCTAGGGACTCRAGGGCAAAATGCATGAAGTGGAGGAGGATGGATTTGAAGCTGTCCTGGAAAACTATTGCGTGTAAGATGGTGTTCCTCCCAGCTGCCTTGGGAAGCACCCGCCGGRCTGACGCTGCTGGGTGGTGCTTTGGTTGTTTTGCTGAGGCAAACAAGGAGCTGGTAGTCAAGGCAGACCAAGCAGGCTTTGCAGTGAGACAGACAGACACGTATTAAGCTGAAGAGAGCGACTGTAAGTCAGAATTGCTCTGAACACACCAAGAACAGGAGCCACATATGGATTCAAGATACACCCTGATATACGTATGTGCATATGCAGGTTGCGAACATGTGCTTCAGGGTATATTGCACTTAAATAAAAGCCTTGGCCTGTGCATGTTGCAGCCCAGCACCTGGACTGGGGTTGTGATGRCCAGCAGCATGCAAACATACCACACTGCTGCTGCTGCCTGAAAAAGCCAAACTGAGTGACAGTTTTAGGACAAAGCTGAATTATGGCTAAGGAAGTGAGACATCCTGGCTTGTGGGAGAGACAGTTCTTGGATGATAAACTGATGGGTTTGGGAGTTTGATTTAAATCTGGTTGTATGATGTCCTTCTTTCTTTTCTAGGCCGTGAGCTGGCTAAAAATAAGGATGTCATTAGAAGATATTACATATAGTAACAGGGTTAATTTGGTCCTTTTGGCATCAAGCAAGCAAGAAGGTGGCCCTAATGGTTGTGAAATATCTTTAGGGGGTGAAAGGGGAAAGATGGATCCAACAGGATCCAAAGTTGTGTAGGGCATGGATTTAAATAAGAAATACGAAAAACAGCAAAACAGATAACTAGAGGATTGGAAGTTAGAGCACTCACTTGCTTTCACATAAAAGCAAAAGAGGATTGATGTAAAGGAGAAACCATCCCTACTCTGATTAGTCCATGTGAGTAACTCGTTTAAATTATGTTTTCATTTTCAAGTGAGTGGGAGATCAGCTTTCCCTAAACACTTCAATTTTTATTAAAGAAATGGTTGCTTATGGTTTGCTTTTGTTATCCAGTACCATAACAACATAAGGCAGAGGAGAGGTTAAAGAAAATTGCTCTGCAACAGAGGCGTGAAAAGAAATCCACCAAAGAGGTTCTTTGGGTACCACTGCACACTGTTGCAGATGAGTCCTGCCCCTGGGAGTCAAGCACCTGCAAACAAAAGTAGTCTTGGTAATCTCCAAAATTGCAATGTCAGTTGTGAAAAGTGCTCCTCCTATTTAACCCAGTGGGTGAAAACAAGGAGCTCTGTAAGAGTCTAGGGGACAAGCACAGATCAGGAATGAACCTCTATTTATACGCCACTGGGCTTGTGACTTGGTTTGTGCCTCACTTAGAAGCAGCAGAAAATAAATATTACCTGTAAATTTAACATGCAATTCTATGTATAGATAAAACATGCAGCAGAAGTGATTTAGAAAAATGGAATTTTATTTAAAACTATAAAAAATATTGTGGGTACTGACTTGCATCATGTGGTTTAAGTTAAGGGATGTGGCTGCTAGTRCATTGGTTCAAGTAACATTAAATGGTTTAAGTATCTGTTTGCAAAACAGATATTACATTAGCATATCTAAAAGACTTGAGGGGATTGAGAGAATTAGATTTGTCTTATTGAAAGACACCTCTAAAATAGCAAACCTAATGGACATGGGATATTTTGAAGGTTTTTATGGGAATAGTGGAAAACTCCACTATTTCCACCAGTCCTGTTCTCTCTCTTCCCAAAGAATCCATTATTGACAGGTGCTCTTTTTCCAAATTTTAGTGTCCTGGCTGGCAGTCTGCTGTCTTTCCTTCTTACGGTGGTTGTAGGCTATGGGAGGTCCACGACTTCTTGATGCTCTTCACAGTGAGACGCACTGAATAAGCCAGGATATGTCTGATGCTGCTCAAWCTTGGCACAGTCACATATAGGTTATCAATGTTAAACTAGATAAAGTCTGTGGTCTGGCCTCTATAGCTTTTCCTGCAAAACGGGAAAGTGTGCAGTGGAAAGAAGCTGAAAATACTGGGCGATCTTGCAACAAAATGCAAGTGCACTAAGGGGAAAGGAAATTGCTCTTTTTCCATGCTTCTGAGTGACTTTTCCAGTTCAAATAAAATGAGCAGTAGAGAGGGTGTGTTTGTGTGTATGCACACCTATAAGCCTGCAGAAAACCATGCGTGCAGAACACCAATTGCTCATCAGGACGTTGAGGAGACTGGTCTATATGCAGTAGCTAGCAGAAGATATGCCTGGATCCAGGTGACAAATTGTTGAAAAACACGAAGCATGAAAATATGGGTTATATATTAGAAAAGAAAAATAACAATTCAGTTGCAAAAGAATCAGCTTGAGAAACAGATCAAAGAAATGGCATGAAAGATGAAAGACAGAGTTAACTGATGGGAAGCTCCATCTGGATGGGGCTTCACAGCAGCAGTATTTCACTGTTAGAACTCATCTTGCTCAGTTAGGAGAGCAACAGTTAGTGCTGTCAGTGCTCTACTGCTTTGTGTTAGGTTGTGTTTTTTAACGTGTAGAGATATGTGACCAGAAGCAGTAGAAGAGCGGGTTATAAATCCAACAGGTTACTGACCTGTTCCTTCTGTCACAGCTCTAGATATGGTGCCCTAATCTGCTTTGTGCCCGCGAACAGAGCCAGCCCGGTTGCTGGCTGCTCTGTGTGAAACTTTAAGGATGTCTTTGACTGTTTTGTGAGTAGAGAGGTAGAATGTGCTGCTCAGCTAGATGGAGAGAAAGAGGAGCCGATATGTGATCCTGATCCTCATTCCTAATAAACGTTGCGGCCAAGGAACTGCGCCAGTTTGGGCAGCTCCCGTCCATAGGGGAGCTCYTGGAGAAGATGGAGCCTAGATAAGACTTGATTGACTGCTAGAACCTAGCGGATAAAGCGAGGTTCAGTTTATGTTGCACACCAAACATTTCTGTTGACTGCTTTGCTCTTTTTAGTCCCTGGAGCTTTCCCTGGCCTCGGCAAAGCCTCTGAGACGACTGTGTCCACAAGAGGGTACTAGGCTGCAAGTAGCCTCTATAGCGGGTGGCCAGCGAAGGAGGCTGAAACTGCTGTTGGCCAGGTGGTACCGCAGCAAATTATTCAGAAAAACCTRTTAATATTGTTGCCTGTGAAAGACACACAGGCCAAATGGGCTTTTTATTGTCCTTAATCAAACAAAATGCCAATATGGATCATGCCAAAGCACTGCTGAGACTGATGCTCTGGGCACTTGCACCAGCTTCATACCAGGAGAGCTTCCGTACTGACTTTGGATTCACTTTCACTTGAAACTAATAGACGAAAGAGGAGGCCAGGAATCACAGTAATTTTATGAATCTGGGTTTTGGCACATTTAGAGAAATTTCCCTTAATGTATTTTGAGTATCTCAAAATCTATTTGTAATCTATCACACTGATCCAGCCAACACAAAACACACACTAAGCTTTGCACTCTAAAAACTGTTCAAAAACACCTGAATAACCTGTTAATGCTCTGCAAACCGTTGTGAAACAGCTCCACAATCAGCTCTTTTCCCCCTCATCACAGCATTAGTGGTACTAAAGGCTAATGACTTGCAAAATTGTAGTTAAAGGTACAAGCTTTGGAATCGTGAGGCAGATAAAAAGTCGCTGGAATTTCAGGAGGTGAAATTCAATTTATTACACTTTATTACATCACTATATACATGTGTGTATATTTACTTATATATGTATATATATGCATGCAGATATATATAGATATAAAATCAAGGGCCACGGCCCACATGTCCCATGTCACAATGCTAGGATTCAAGCTGCTCCTCAGAARTATCTTCAATAACGAGATTACAAAGCCCTGCGGCCCGCGTGAACATCACTACGGAGCTAATTAAGGTCAGCTAATTAAAGCGAGCGGCGGTCTCGCCCGGCCGGGCCTCAGCGCGAGCCCTGAGCGACGGGGCCGCCTCSGGGGAGCCGCGTGAAGGACCCGGGCCCCGCGGGCGCAGCCCAGCGCGGGTGACCGCGCGCCCCTCTCCACACAGCCGCGCGGCGACGCGACGCTGCCTGAGGCGGGGGGGGAGGGGCCGCGGCCGCTGCGTCGCGAGCGCGACCGTTACGGCGGCGGCCGTTACGGGAGCGACCGTTAGCGCGGCCGTTGCGAGCGCGGCCGCTACGGGGGCGGCCGTTGGGGCGGCGGCGCGCGGGGCCCGCCCCGCGGGGCGCGTCACGGCGGCGGTGACGGGGCGGGGCGGGCGCGCAGGCGGCAGGGCGAGCGGCGCGCCGGCTGCGCGCACCCCGCACACGGCCGCGCACGCAGCCAGCACCATGTGGCGGCCCGCGCTCGCCCGGCTGCTGCTCGTGCAGCTGCTGCTGCTCAAGCTGCACCTCGGCAAAGGTGGGTCCTCCCGCCCTCCTTCTCCTCCTCCTCCATCCTCCGCGGGCACGCAGCCCGCGCCGAGCCGCGGCGCAGGGTGTGCGCGGCGGGAGGCCGCGGTGACAGGAGCCGCCGCCGCCACTAATCCCCGCCGAGGGGATTTGTGCCCGCGCGCTGCGCCGCGGCCGCCCGGGGGGATTTGCGCCGCCCTCCCGCCCCCGCGCAACTTCGCGCGCCTCGGCCCCCGCGCCGGGGCTCGGCCTCATCCCCGCGTCCCGGCGCCTTGTGCGGGGGGTCTCGGCATCGGGGCGCTGCGCGTTTCTCTTTGTCCTTTCGCGTTTCTGGTGTAAGCGCCCTCCTTTCCCCCCGGCCCGTTTCCCGCCGCCACGAGCCGCGGCGGTGGCTGCTGCTGTCGCGCGGAGCCCCGGGGGCTTGGGGGGGGGATGCTTGTCTGATGCCTGCCCCCTTCACCCTCCCGTGTCCCGCAGGCGCCGTGAAGGAGTGCGAGGAGGACCAGTTCCAGTGCGGGAACAAGCGCTGCATCCCCGCCATCTGGAAGTGCGACGAGGACGAYGACTGCTCGGACAACAGCGACGAGGCGGATTGCCGTGAGTGCCGGGGGGCCGCGCGCCGGGCCCCGCCGCGCTGCGCCTCTTTTTATGAATGAATGAAGCGAGTGGCGCCTCTCGCCGCCGCGCCGCCCATTGGCTGCCGCCGAGCAGCCCAGCGGTGACGTGCGCGCCGGGACCGCCGCCACAGGCGGCTCCGGCCGCAGGTGCCGGCGCGTTGGCCCCGCGCGGAGCAGCCCGCGCCCTCGGAAACGGCTGTCGTGGCAGTTAGGGAGAGGTGTCCCTAGGTCCAGGTCGCACTGAAGCAGCGTGCTCCTCTCGCCAGCTCCTTGGGGCATCAGGGACTGACGGAGTCACAGGGTGCAACTTGCTGTGCAAAGCATCCACATGCCCAGGGAACAACTGGWGCGTCACTGGTTACCCGTTTTCCAGTGTATGACCACGCTGTGAACACCCTTGGGGAGTGATGTTAGCCCGGTGCGCTTCAGTGCCACGGGGAGCAGGAGTACCCCAGCTTCTGTTGGTGAGAGGCGTCTTGGTGTTGTAATATCAGACATAAGACTCACTTCTGGTGCTTTTGTCATCAGCAGACTTGATATACCTTACGTGTGCATACAGTTATGTGAAGCATTGCTTTCTTTGTSTACAGCTACAGATTATACAAGAATTACTACCAGTAGTTAGAGGCAACTTGCATTTAAAATTTGTTAGATTGCTAAAGCAGCAGTGAGGCCAGGGCAGGCYGAGAGCTCACTTGGACTGGCACGTAGCCACAGTGGGGAGAGGGTCCTTGAAAGTGCCCAAGTCTCCAAAGAGCCCCTGCCCTGTGTGGGTGTGGGCCGKCTGCGAGCAGCCTCAGCTGAGGCTTGTGAAGCCTCTCGTTAAAAGTATTGTTGTGCACCTTGCGCAACAATACTTTTGTATTGTTGTGTGAGCTGTGTGAGCTGCAGGTGGCTTTGGAAAAGCCTCTCCCAGAGGGTGTGGGTTCGTATCCGGAACAGCCTTTCAAGGAGGAGATTCAGCATCCCAYGCTCTACTTTGATCTCTAGGTCTTTAGCCTGGGCTCCTGGCCTAACGGGAAGGACCAAGTGGGTCAGTATTTGACAGAAAGGGCAACAAAAACACAGGTCGCCTGTGGAGTGAGCGCTGCCCCTGTATTGCTTGTGGATGGGCCTGTCCAGTGTTTATAACATATTTGCAGTAACTCATTGCTTCTTGCATATTGTGCTGCCTGTAGAGACAGGAGGGTCTTGGTGCACGCTGAGTATCCATTTACAAAACAAGCTGAGCCTTGTGGCGGGCAGTCTATAAACACTGCAAGTGTCTGTAACGGAGAGTATCTTAAACAGTWCTGGAAGGAGATAACAATTTTTATTTTGTTTGTGGAAGAAGCAGGGAGTTGACAAACTGGCAGCACTTTGTGTGCTTCCTCCGAGACGCTTCCTCGCACAAAGGCCGCCCTTGTTGGCTCTCCTGCGCYTCCAGAGCCTTGCGGGTACAACATTGGCTTCTTTAAACACCTGTTAGATTAGAGGGGGCACATCTCAAAAATCACCCTTTATTGTCCCCTGGGAATTGGCTTCCTACACACTAAATCCCTCCCTTTCTGATGGTGCTCCCAGTTAGCCTGCCGTAGGATTGATGTGAGAATAAATATGGTAAACTTAGGARGAGAAATGTGAGAAGTAATCATCTCAGTAGCTCTTAACCAGTAACAGAGCTGGTTACTCAAGTCTGTCCTAGCTCACTCCTCTAAATCAGGAGCCTGAACTCTTTCTCGGTATGTGGCAGTTGATTTTTGAAGTTCTACATGTGGGAAATAAATGAAAATAATCCAATTTGATTTAATTCTTAGGAAAAAAAGATATTTCAAAACTGTTAACATAATTATTGAAGTTTACCTGGAGTACCTAGTGAAGAAGATAAAACATCTCTGGCTCCACAGCTCACTTGTGAGAGCAGGCAAAAGAGATTCTCTGTATGCGAGTTAGAGATCTGGGTCTCAGCTTTCTTGTATTATTGTATGTTGGTTGGTTTTGTCACATAACTACTACAAGTGCAGACTATGCTGTGTATATGTGCATCGAGTTCAATTTAAATTATCTTTCAATTTTAGCATGTTCCAGGCAGTATCTTTAAAGCTGGAATGTTKTAAGGAGCCTCTTCTGGTCTTCCTTGCTGGAGCAAGAAGATCATTTCTGCATTTTGTGGTATTTAACTGTTATCACAATCAAAGTGAGTCCCTCTAGTAGCATTGATGATTTAAAATAGTCAAAAACAGAACAAAAATGAAGAAAAAAAAAACCCACAAATGGCTCTCACCTTATAGCACATAGTGCTGAGACTTTAGAGAGGAACAAGAAAATAAAGAATGTAAAAGTGCCCTGCCTGTAAATGCCGACTTAGATACTGCTTTACCAGAACCAGACAGAAACAAATCCTGGTAGCAAAGAGCTGTAATAAAGGTGTCTACTAGAAAAGCAAGCAAGAGTGTGAAGTATCCACTGACATGGGGCTTGTGAAGTGTTAGCAAGAAAGAAAGGGATTCTAATTTGTGCATATAATGTAAATATATAAAGCTGGACACCGTTTACTTAAATGTGAAGATGCTTATTTTTTTGTGTAGCTTTTCAGACAGCAGTTGTTTCTTATGGCAAGAAAAAAAAAAACGGAAAAGAAAAAGGGAACAGAGAAATTCCTTGAAATCTTCCTGTGTCTACTAGGAGTGCCCCCCCCCCCCCCAAGAGAAAAGCAGTGAGTTATGGTTTGGGACTGCTTGGAAAATGAAGTCTTCAGCTGTGGAATTAGAAACCTTGGAAACCTGCTACAGAGTTTAAATCTGTACAAGTTTGTGGACTCTGGTTTACGTGAGATTAGTTTTTTGAGCTCGATCCAGTGTGCCCAGGCCTGGCAGACAAACTCAGCAGCAATCCACAGTTTGCGCTGTCATGATCTGTGCTCTACCTGAACCACAGGATGAATTGCTCCAGGACAGTTTTGAACATGATTTTTAAATGCATTTTAGTACTTCCCTCTACAAGCAAATTGTGCTTTATCTTCTAAGGGAACAGAAAGTCAAGACTGAATCTGGAATGATACTCCATTCCAGAGGATATTTGCAGATTATATTTGTACTTATTTTTCAATTAAAAGTAGGATTTGTGCTATCTTTACCCACACCCAAGAGTGGGTAGAAGAAACTGTTTAAAAGCTTCATGGTTAATAAATTCCCATATGGCAAATAGTCTAATTGCAAAAAGTCAGCTATGGCTTAAACCAGTTACCTAAAATATACCCATGCAAGCTGTGAAGCAACTTCAACTGTGTAATACCTGCCTGCAGGAGACAGCCAAAGGCTAAATGAATATTTCTCTCTTAAGGCTGCTTTTTCCTTCATTGTTTTGAGATGCTTTCTGTGTTATTGCTTTCTAGTAAATACTGTTCAGAGGGCAGGGGCATTCACACGTGTCTCAGATTTGGGGTAAACTCTCCCTGGTCTATCAGCCAGCTCAGCTCTTGCCCTGCCTTGGGCTGTTCAGAGTAATGTGGCCATGTGGCTCAGTCAGGTCCTCTTGCTCCCCAGGAGAGGGAAGATTCCTGTTCTCCTGCTGTGTTTGTGCAGGAAGAGTGTGCAGAGCTGATTTGTGCCTGCTGCCTGCATGAAAGCCCATGAGGCAGTGTGATATTCTCCTTGCTTTTCAGTACAAATTTCACTAGAGTTGAAATTTAGGAATAAAAATAGCTCAAAAGCCTATTATGAGAACAGATCCTGTGAAGAGCGAAAGATGGCCCGAGTGGCTGCTCTGCGAAGGATCGTGGCGGTGCTCGTGCCTGTGCCGTCAGGGTTTGGAGTGTGGCGGGATGAGGGCTGCCAAATGTGCACGGCTTCTCTGTCCTCTGCCCTCTCTTGGTCCCATTTCCCTTTGCATTCAGCAGTGAGTCGGTGTTTGCTGTGCTGGGGGAAGGCTGCCCGTTGCCCCTCGTGGCATTGATGCACATTCATGGCTGTGCAAAGAGCCTTAGGTTTCCTTGATGCATGCATGGCCATATGCTCTTGCTTATGTAGGTGCTAGATAACTGGCTTAACTGCCCTGGCTTGTGCTGTATGCCCTGCCAAGGTAGGGACACAATGACTTTATTGATTTCTATGCTCGGCAGTGATGCTGTTAATCACTTATCTTGGTTTCTTCGCCACGTTCTTGATGTCTGTGCTGGGAAACTGCACCGGCGTGCCTTTCTAGATGTGGGTTGCCTTCCCTCTGCTGCATGCAAATATTCTTTATGGAGAAAGCCCAGCACTGCATGCACGTGTGCAACGTGCTCTTCCCCTTCCCGTGTTTCCGACACACCCTCTCAAGGAATCTTATTGACTCTAGGTGCAAACTGCTTTCCAGGAAGCTGTGTTTTTCAATTGCCCTTTCTCATGGTGTGGGAAAGATATTGGGATTGCGCTGGAACAGGAGCACTGAGAACAGAGAAGCAGGAGCCTTTGTGCATGGGGTGGCAGCAGGGAGGTTTGTGGCTATCAAGTGAAGAGAAGTTGATTATTCTGGGCTACTGTGCTATGGCGAGATGGCACGTGAGTAGCTGTGGAAACAGCTGTAAGGAGAAGCTGTAATGCGAAATAATTGTCCTGAGGTCAAGGAGAATGTGAAAATTGGAAATCACAATTGAGTTCAAGATAGAAATGATGAAAGTGCAGTCAGAACAGACAGTGACTTGGTTTGCTCAGCTCAGAGCTTCAAGCTCTCATTTCGGGAGACTTAAAAAAAATTCTACGCTTTGACCCAAGGTAGGCAAGCTTTATCCTGAGCATTTTAACGTATAAAATGGTAAACCAAAAGTCAATGTTGACTGCTTCTGTTCTGTGCAGAGTAGCAGAGTAAGGATTAGTTCATGTTTGAGATTTCTTATTGATTGTGGAAGATACTTTGGGTAGCTTAGCCTTCATCAGAAAATGTTTAGCAAGAGATTAAAATGAGCAAACTGCAATTCTGAGACTGGGGGAAGCAAATGCAATGTGTTTGGGAGTGGGATTT